AAGAAAGAAGGTTATAATCCTGTGCCTAGCGATATCTTGACTTTATTGGGTAATAATGTATTTGCCCATATAAGTCATGGAAAGTGTTTGATAGAAGTCATAAAACTAGATTTATCAGATACCCTGTATAGATTTTTTCAGATAATCCCAAGTTAATGGCATGTCTGTAGCAACTACGTAACAAGTAAATTTTTTTGTTTGTAGAGGAAGTATTTTAAACTACTTTTATCTTTGTGACAAAAATTTATACATCATTACATCGTTTTCCGTATGCCGCTATGCAAGACAATATATATTGACAACTGGAAGATCAGAAATCTTGATTTTAAACAAAAAAAAAAAAAAATCACTAATTTATTGTATTTATCTTACAGTGAAGGGGGCTTTTTCAAAGCTCACTTGTACTTCCCAAAAGAATATCCTCTTCGACCTCCAAAAATGAAATTCATTACAGAGATTTGGCATCCTAATAGTAAGTAAAATCTTATCATTACAAATTAAATTATTGATGAAGCAGTATTCTCTGTAAGCATTAATACCCCCTCATCCTTGTAAGCATTAATACCCCCTCATCCTTATAAATGCACCTTTGCCCTTTTTGTATCACTATCCCTTTAAAACACTGCCTTTTAATTCATATTCCGTTTTGAGAAACATTATTTCACTGTTTATATAATTACACACTGGTAAAATTATCTGTGTTTATAGATTTACTTCTGATTGCTATTACAAATATCTACTTGTTAAGATTAATCTCAACTGGTTAAATTTTTGTAAGTACCTATTTTTTTTTTCAGAGCTTGAGATATTAATGTACTAGCCGCTTAAGGCGGCCAGCTGTCCGCCACGCTAAAGGTTTTCACAAATAAAGCTTTTTAAAACATAGCAGGAAATCTGAAGATTAGTGGACAATTAAAGTGTTCCTGTCCTGCAATTTTGTCTTCATATCCAGATGAACAGCGACAAATATCTCAAAGCGAAGCATTCTATTTACGTATCGAATATGTTGCCATATTTTTAATACAAAAGTTAAACTTTTCTCCACTTCGATGAATGTAAACTAATGCGAACCTTACAATTGAATTATTAATTCCTTCGTATGTTATTGGTTTACGTTGTCGAAAATTAATATTTCAATTGTAAGGTTCGCATCAGCATACATTTATAAGAGTAGAGAAAATATATGCATTTTTTATTAGTTTTTTGAATATGGCTCTTTGAAGACGAAAAAGCATAGATTTTCTTACAAAATGACTGATAACTAAAAAACTAATCCGAATTTTTGAAAAAGAAAAAAAATACTTCTTCATTATGTCAAAACACAATTATGTGCCGAGTTTCGTGCCTGGGCGAGGCTTCTGGGGCGATATATTGTTATTACAGGCACACACACACAGCCTCGTTTATTATTATGTATAGATGACATACTATTACGCATTTTGATAACTTTTTATGTCGTTAAGTGAGTGCCATTTTAAAACTTGAAGTGCCCTTTTTTATTTTTATGGTGAACTCAGGATATGGGATTAGAAAAAGCTTGTTCTAAATTGGATAGTTTTATTTAAATTTTAAACTAAAAAGTTTAATTTGCTTAAATAAAGGAGTGCAGATTTTTCCCCTTTTTTTTCCTTCGAAGAACTAACTTTTTAAAAATTGTATAAAGTGGTATGATAAAGATAATTTTATTTTTAAACATGTTATTTAGCACTGTGTTAATTGTATTTTGTGATGGAATGTGCATTGGAAAGACTAAGAATTTGATTCCTGTCATTCATTCATCTAGACTTCAATTGGCCTTAACATTCTTTGACTTCTTAAGAGTGCTATTTTTAGATTTCATTATTGTGAAAATTATTCAGGGAAAAAAAAAAGTTTAAATAGAAGGAAGGGGATGATTTTGTCTAGATTTTGAATTTTCAGGTGAGTATTAAAAAAGTGATAATGGCACAGGTTATCACAATACTTGTAAAGTAAGGCGAGGAATGCATTTATTCATAATCAATATTTTTTTCTTTCATTGGCTTTAAGGAGAGTTGTAATTTTTCGTTTGTTATAGAGTTGTAATTCAACATAAAAAGGGTTTTTCAGTGTGTTCTTAACAGTGGCATTGAATAGATTCTTGTTATTAACACTTTTTCCTTCCTGATTCTTGTGATTTATAGTATGTCTTAGTAGGGCTGAGAAAAACCTGGGTTTTCTTTTTTGAAAAAAAGCCCATCTAAAGATGGCAGCAATGCATATAATTGTGTGTGCATTCAGCTTGTATATCATATTTCTGGTCACATTCTTTTATTATTAGAAATTTAAAGTAATTGCTTTTATAAAATTTCATAAAAGGGAGCTTCATATCTCATAAAAACTTTCCATTCCATGACAAACTAGCCCTAGAAATTTTTATATTTTTGTAGATGCCTGGATTTCTTCATGAGGATAGGCATTTAGCCCTAAAAACAATTATTTAACAGGGTGCCTGATAATGTCAGTGAAATTTTTTTTCTAATGGAAAAGTTGGAAATATGTATTTCTCTTTAGAAAGTCAAAGTAAAGTAAATCACTCAGGGTAAGAAATTAATTTTTACATTACTTTAAATAAAGCTCTGATTAATTTAATGATTAAAGGTGCTTAAATGTTAAACACAAGCTTATAAACAAGGATACAGAAAAAACAGCAGCCACTCCAGCCTGTTTTCAAGCTATAAATCTAATACAGTTTACAGACTAGTTGATCCATATTTGAAAGAGTTTAACTACTGTAGGTTAGAACTAAACAGGTTTTCATCATCAATAGTAGAATCAACCATCCACAAAATCATTGTTTATTAGTATCTGCGGGAGGATGGATTTTCAGGTTTAAAGGATAACAAACCAGCAAGAGAGATTCATAGTAGAAAAGTCATGAACAAAAATTGTGTGAATCTCAAAACCCATGGGGAAATAGGAATGTGTAGAAGTAGAAATAATGAACAAATTCTAGCGCTTTAAAGATGGGAGAAAAATTGCATTTCAGGCCAATTTTAAATTTTTTTTTTTTTTTTTTTTTTCCCCTTTAAGGAAAGTAAATCTTTTAAGAAAAATCTTGTCCTAAAAAAGGTGTGATGAAAAACTTAACCCTGGATGGTCAAACTGGTTGGAACCTGTAGAAAATAATCAGTGTATTGCAGGCTTGCAATAAAAACCTTCTCTTTAAGTAATATGGGACAGCAGGCATTAATAAACCACAAAATAAGGTCTGACCACCAAAGAAATGTTAGGAAAATTTCATTTCCACATATATTTATGCAAAATTTTCTTAAATTTATCAATAATTGTTAGATTTTTACAAAAAAAAAAAAAATTGAATGTTGTTACAACACGATCAAGGCAAAAAAAATGTTGAGCCAGAAATGTGTTTCATACTTTAATGTGGAGATTTTTTAAAAATTTAGTTTTAGAGTTAAATGAGGTGATGTTGATATCCAGAAATGTAATCTTTTACTAATCACTGATGGTTTAGTAAGGCGGTATGGTAAGTGAAATTAAAGCATCAAATACTGTTAGATCTAATTTTAAGAAAGAATGTCTTTCATTTTTACAAAAGATGACTCTCAAGTTAGTGGAAAGAAATCCTCCATGTTTTTATTGAATTTCCTCATGTTAAAAAAGAAAAGTTCAAACGTGAAAATGATATTCTATTTTCTATTCTTCATTATTGGCTGATAACAATAACTATCAAAACTTATTAATGTTTATAAAAAATAGTTTAATTATTTCGCATGGCAATGCTGCTCTTGAGATCTGTTTCAGCATTAATGAGGCTTTTCTAGGAAGGATAATAATTGCTATCTGAACTATTTCTGGTGCTGGTGTTTTGTTTAAGGTAGACATAATAGAACAAATGTTACTTTCAGCCAGAAATGCTATAAATTTTTATTATAAAGCGCTGAAAGCGAAAAGAAATTCTTGAGAAAGAATCTTACGAACTATCATCCAAAAAGGAAGGTTGTAGAGGAGAACTTAAAGTGGAAAAAATTGAAAATCCGACAAGAAGCATCAAAACAAATAACAACTTGATGGCTTCATCATAGATTAAATTTACGTTTTATTGTGATTTTTAAGTGTTCAGATAACTATTACTTTAAATTGTGTTTCCATATAAAATTTTTTATTTTTGTTTATAATATTTTTTTTTAATAGATTGTGGCTCAGATTATAATATTAGAATGAGCATTTACTTATAATTTGAACTAAAAATGCATTTTCGTAGTATCTCATTTCATTATATTATCTTATCCCATAGCTTTTATACATAATTCATTTTTACACTTACTATATATCTTTTATTTGATGAAAAAAAAAGGTTATTTCTCCTTGGGAAGCACATTTTTTTCTTAAAATGTTTTGAGTTCTGTCTAGAACAGGGTTTTTTTTTTTTGCAATTCTGCCTCTTAACTCAAAATTTTTATTAAACATATTTTCATACTTTTTTCATTATTTTGTGTTCATTTTGGTCACAAAAAAAATATTGTATTCAGCAATTTATGGTTATTAAATGCAGCTTCCAAAAACCAACTTTTCAAATTTGCAGTCTAAGAGAATTCATCATTAAAATTTCTTTAATTTGTAAAATCAATTCATCATAGGGAAGTTTCACAGTATTTCTAATTTTTGTTATTTTTTTTTTGCAGTTGATAAAACTGGTGATGTTTGCATATCTATTTTACATGAGCCAGGTGATGACAAATTTGGCTATGAAAAAGCATCTGAACGGTGGTTGCCCGTTCACACTGTGGAGACCATACTCATTTCGGTTATTTCCATGCTGGCTGATCCTAATGATGAATCTCCTGCCAATGTGGATGCTGCTGTAAGTATCTGTTAACATGGTGATTGTTTTAATATTGAATAAAAAATTTATATTTAAATACCTTTGTGAAAAGCGTACTCCAGTAACCTCAAAAAAAAAATTAATAATTCGTTCTTGTGAAATGGTTTTTGAAATTTATTTTGTTTAAATCATATTTGAGAAGTGATGAATTCTAAAATTAGTAATTTTTTGTTTGTTGAAATGTACAATTTAATATACAATTATTATAACATACAATTTAAGCAAACTTCAGTTTTCTAGACATGCTTTATATGTAATTTGGAGCACGGATGTTTATTTAAATTGGAGAGGAATGATAAAGAGATTTCTTTTTTGAGTGTACCTTGCATCAAGGATAGATTTTATATCAGATTCTTTCATTCAGGCTTGTCTTTCCGCTTCATCACGACATGGATTGGGTTATGGTGTCATTGAAACCGTGTCACGGAATTTGTCAGCAAATATTTCTTCTCTCTATCAGGGTTTGTTGATTTAAATCAGCTTGA